GTGACGCTCACCAGGCAGCTGGCCACCAAAAAAGGTAAGTTTGGCAGTCTGCTTACTAGTCCGTTGCCAAGTAATGCTGAAAACAGAATTTCGCATCCCCTTTATCCCAGGTAGCGGCACTGATCTAATCTAGGCAGAGCACAAGCCTGGAGGAGCTAATTTGCCTGGCTGTGTTGCCAACTCCATTACATTTTAGTCCCTCCTCTGGGGATGTGCTGCATGGAGGTGCTGGGTCACCTGCCACCGTGAGCAGCAGTCTCCGCATTCCAGATGGAGTCGTTGCCCGCAGTGTGACGTCCACGTGCAATTGGGGTTATGTGCTCAAGCGCTGGGCTACTTGCTCACTTACAAATACAGTTTTTCCAGTTCATCTTACGCTCCATTCTAAATCTAGCAGCGATTTTAATTGTTTCTGTGTACTTTCTAATCCAACAAGGAAGTGTTAAAAAGATTTTTTTGGGGTGTAATTGCAGCTAAAGGCAAAGGGCAGGCTCAAGCCAGAGTGAATATCAGTGCTGCCTTGGTTGAGGACATTATCAATTTGGAAGAAACCAATGAAGACATGCAGGCAGTGGTAGAAGCCCTGAAGGAAGATTTCAGCAGAAATCTCAATATTAGAACCTCACCAGGTTAGTAGCTTTCTTGGATGTTGCTCTGCTGTTTGTAAATAAGGTTACTAATCTTTGCAGCACTGAACTGCATGTTTATTTTTTTCAAATTTGATTTCCTTTTTATTGAATTACTCGCTAGGCAGCAGATTACTACAACCTTGACATCCCCAGCTAAAGGCCTTTTTCACCCTGAGCTTGACCAGGAAGAATCCATTTTTGTTAATAGCTTCCTGGAAATAGCTTTTGTAAGTGGGAGATGTCAAAAGTGTCTAACTGAACTGTTTGCAGATGTGACGAAGAAGCAGGTTGTCAGTTAATGGTGCAGTAGGGCAGGAAAAATCCAATTGCCATTAAATTAGCCTTTTGGAAATTGCCATCAGGCTGGTGTCTGGCATATACAAACTTTTTTTTGCTATACGTATTTGTGGTTAGTGACCTTTACAAGCCCTACTCACTTAGCGAATTTTTCTGTTTCAGAAAGAAACATGAATATATTTGACTAAGCTACAGTTACTATAACACTCTGAACATATGTATTTATAAGTAGTATCAAGTTTCAGGGATGAAATTTAACATTAAACATTGACCAAGTTTGAATCATTCACCACCCCTGCTCTGGCTGGGGCACTTCAGTCTTTAATGCAATTGGAAAGTTTAGCTCAGTCTCTTAACTATTTATTCTAACCATAGGTATTTTTTTAATTGCACTGATGAAGTACCTCTTGTCCTGCCTTTTGCCCTGCTAACGTTTTTGAGCATAAACTAGGGAGCAGATTAAGAGTAGCTCCAGGAGAAACCGAATACTTCAAATTAGACAGCGTACAACGCTTTCCTCTTGGGACTTGGAAAGGAACTTTGATGGCTTAAGGGAACATTGCTAAACTAAAGACATAATTTCCTTGATTTTTAGAGCAACATTTAGATTTTTTTTATTGTAAGAGTGAAAAAATATGTATCTTAATTAGTCATCATCTTTGCTTAGTTCTCCTGTTCCAGTAACGAAAATAAACAAGAGTTTTGTTTTTGTGTTCTTTTGCTCTAGAATAGTGTTGAAATGTTTGGCTTTCAAATACCGCATGAATATGTATAACAGTAAAATTGTAAGTCTGAAAAAAACCTTTTGTAATACGTATGTTGCATAATGGAAGGAATGCAGGACACTGCATATGTCTTTCTGCTGCTTTTTCATTCTGAACTGCTCTGTCATACTGAAATGCCACTGTGTTTCGTTCTTTTGAGGGGCCTTTGATCACATAATTGTGGTGACTAAAGATGGGAAGTTTCCACTGAACCAGCTCGGGCAGATCTCACAGAAGTCACCTCAGCTCATTATTGTGAACATGACCAATTTTCCAGAGGTAAGGCCACATTACAGGGAGGTAACTACCACAGGAACAAACAGGTTGATACTGAGCAAAGAAACATTTAGACTGGATCAGTCAACTCTGACAGTGGTTGAGAGTTCTCCCCGCGCTGTCTCTTGCTCCTGGCTCACACACAACAGAAGTTACATTTCACTGCACTGTACAGTGCAGTCACAGTCTGCACTGGGCAAGCGACTGTGCAGCTCCGTCTGGAGTACAAGGTATCTTGTATGTGCAGCAGCGTTGCCTGTTAGGCCATGATTGTTCTCAAGTTTCCATCCAATAAATTCCAAGAATATGGTCATTTTGCTTCGGGGACTATTTTCCTGTCTTTGCATCACAAAGAACTTGGTGGAAAGAGAGCAAAGGGAATATCGTAACTAGGACAGTGCCATGCTGGAAGGACACCTAGGTATTGTGCCCTCTAGGTCTCTTCATTTCCTGAGCTTTTATTGAACCTGGTAGTCTTGCACACAGCCTAGATCTACCCTTTTGTATTTGAGTCAGTACAGTTGCTCGTGAAGACTTGGCTATGTACAAACTTATGCCTGTAGTTAAATAGTCTGTATTTGTGCTGTTCCTCTGGCAGGACTAAGCACTAAGTGCTGTCACAGGTACCGACAGGCACCAGTGCAGTTAGTGAGCTCCTCTCTTGACAGTGCCTTCAGCTCAGGACCCCAAATTAGATGTTCTGACTCTTTGAGAGAGCCAATTTAATTTTCTGCAGGAGCCACAGTTGGACTTGCCCCTGCGTTAGGTGCGTCCCGCCTCGGGAGCGAGCGTTCGCATGCCCTGCGGAGAGGGAGGGCTGTCACTCAGAGCAGAGCTGTGTGTGCACACACGAGGAGTAATGAGTGCAGGGTTAGCTGTTCATCCAGCTCCAGGTCTGGAGGCTTGCCAAAGCTTATCTCTATTTATTTTGCAAGGCTTTCCCCAATTAATTAGGTCGGCAAAGTCTCAGAGGAGGTCAGTGTAAGGTACTTGATGCCTAAGTGTTTCTTAAAGTGTATCCAGCATGTGTAATGTCTTTGAAGAATGAAGGCCCTTCATCAGCGAGCGCACGGAGGTGCCTCAGGGTGCCAGAGCTGAGAGGGCTGGAGAAGTCACTCCATGACTTAGTCGTGTCCAAGCAGGAACTGAGGCAGGCTGAGCAATGGGCCTGTGTAAAATTAAATACCACCATATGTACCGTTGCCTATAGGATATTTCTAAGCCAGGGAGCTGTTTTTCATTGTACTAGAGCCATTTCTCTCAATGTAATTGTTCTATAACATAACTGTTTCGTGGATAGGTTGAACTCCTTAATAACATTATACACACATTACTCAATGTCATTATTTATAGCTTATAGCCAATAGTTGATAGGATTGAGAAGGAAGTAGAAATGTCTGAAGAATCTGGGAAAGAAAATAATCATAGGAAAGGATTTGCAGGGCCAAAGTCTGTTTGGTGTATCTATGCCTAAGATTTACACAATCAGAAAAGAATCTCTTTTTAGGCATAAATATGTATTCAAACAGGATAGGAGCAATATATTTTTCCCTTCTTACATCTCTTCCAATATATATGCTAAACAGTACAGCTTTTACTGAACGTTACCATCTTAAAGGACAGGCACTGTCCATAGAATAACACATTTATAGTGCTAATTTGCAAAGATCATCACAGTTATATTTTTTTGTTCCTTTTTAGCAGTATTTTCATTTCATTCGTACAGTACATAGATGTAAGATTCATTGCATTCAGTGATGTGCACACACATTGAAGACCTAAGCAAATATGCAGAGCTTTAATTTGTACCTCAGTTGTTAAGTCCTAGACTTCATAAATACATTCTACTGTAGCAGCTTGGGTCTAAAGTCAGTGGTGGGGAAGAGTATCAAAAATAGCAGTGGTCCTTGTAGAAAATGCCACACTAGTGCCAAGAGAGTATAGACCTGTTCTGTCACTGTTAATATCAAAAAATGAAACAATCTGGCAGAGCACTGTTGGAGTCTTCTACAGAACTGATTTGACAGAAAGTTTAATATGCTCAAGGTACACTAGGGCTCTGTGATGGGAAAGAAAGTGTTTAAACACTTTGCAGCTACCAAGTACACCTGTGCTGCTCAGCTTTTTAGCAGAGCACAGTGTCAGCACAGCCAGCAGCGATGGAGCCCCGAGAAGCTGATCCCAAGTAATTAGCTGTAAAATAAACTTAGAGCTGAGCACTAGCTCTGTTCCTCAGACAACTGCTACTGCCCTCGTGTAATGTGGTTCGGCTGCAGTGCTGAAGCAGTTAAGTTAGTTAACATTTCTAAACTGGCATTTCGTGATTTCTAGTGGAAGACATTCAGCTGGAATTTTTAAATGCTCAGAATCTTTCATCTCCTTTGCCATAGTCAGGCTGTGCCTTGGGAATTTATTGCGGTTTTAGTCTGCATTGCCTCAAACCATTCGAATAGTTTCAAAGCAGCCAAACAGTTTTCTTTTGTTGTTGCTTCCCTTCCCCTCTCCTCCCCCTTCTTGCCCTCCGTACCCTGATACCAAGAGCAGCCATGGTTTCCCATTCAGTGTGATCAAAGCTCTCTGCACCAGTGTAACTTCCTGATCTTACTGGTAACAGAACTAAATGTTTCCATGTTCTGTGGAGATGGATTGCCAACTATTGACAGAGTTCTGGCATATGGGAATAATTATTTCCTAATTCCCTTTACCTTTTGATCTGGTTTACAGAGTACAGCTGCAGCTACGAAGGCTATAAGGGAAAGTGGAATGAACCTAAACCCGGAAGTAGATGGGACAATAATTCGGATACCAATTCCTAAGTAAGTAACAATGGCTAAATTCCTGGTTATGCAAGATAACATAATAGTTTGCAACAAGTGCCCCTTGTTGTCCTTGTATGTGTAAGCATGCATGATTGCTGTGACTTCTTGATACTCCTCTTCTTTCTTCCTTTAGGAATAAGTCCCAGCCCTTAAAAATATTTGATAGAACTTGCAAGTATCTGAGCTCCAGGTCACCACACTTTGGCATCTGATGCCTGATGTCTGTGTTCTTTATCTTCCCTTGCAGAGGAAGCTTGGGCCTAGCTGGCTGCAGCACTTTGCAAGAGACAGTCAAAGACTTTTGATTAATTTGAAGTCTGATTCCTTGCTGCTTTCTGCAGATTCGTGGAGTTATATCAGCCCTGAGCAGCAGTAATGCGGTAGCAAACTGGTAATATTAGAGGTGAATAGCACCTTGCTGCAGAGACCATCAAATGTAATGATGGAAGGAAGAGGGAGGAAATTGAGAGCTTTGACTAAAATAACAAAACACAAATGCTCCGAGTAGTACCCACGTAGCCATACATGGCAGCGTGCTGTGTCACGCTCTCCCAGTGCTCACGCATTTGCTCCTCAAGGTGAATCTGGTTCTCATGCAGAGCCAGAGCTCAGGCTGTCCCTGTGCCATGTATCTTGCCAGCACAGGTACCACCTGTAGCCAGGAGAGCAGCCCTGGTGCAAGGTCCGTCCAGGAGCTCCTGTGGGTGCTGTGACCCTGCTGCAGCAGAGGCAGATGAGGATGTGCAAAGCCACTGCAGGCCTCATTTCACAATCCCCACAGAGGCTAGAGATGGCTTTTACACCACACACACCATGCACATGCACTACATTTTGCAAGCAGGTGACTTCTAAGTAAAGATGAACTAAGTATTTCTGGTGCTTTAGATCTATTTTAAAAATACATTGAATTTTACCTAGCATTTTGATCAGGGAATTCTAATTGCAGCTTTCTGTTGCTGTCGGTGAAAGGGAATGACATTATCATGCTATCTGCTGATTTTCTTTTTCCCCTGTGCTCTCTGCCCTTCCCCCGTTGCTCTGGAGAGGAGGAGGGCACTATTATCTTCATAATTGCTGAGGCTCCCGCTTGCTGCACAGTAGTTTGATTGTTAATGGGCACTTGGGTCATCCTTGAATATGAATTACAGGGGAGGAAACTCTGAAACTGCAAATCCCCATCTTTAGCAAAATATATTGTTTTTTAAACAGATGTATATGTTCCATCACTTTCTTCTGTGGTGCTGCAGAGGAAAACAGGTCTTCTTTCTCCATGGAAGACCTGTGTAGTGAGCTCCCCTCTTCCTCTGGAGCCTCGCTATTGCTGCTCTTGGTTCCTTTTTTCTCTTGGTACTGACAGTGCAGAGGGCCCTGAGCTAGAGAGGTTTTCAGCTTGGAACATGTGCCTTGCAGGTCTGCCCTCATGAGCCCCTCAGCCCGTTTTCTCAATCCCTATATAGTGACAAGACTGGGTCTTTCAGGGTTTCGTTCAGCTATTGAAAAAACAGTCAACTAGGGTCTCTTACAACTTGCTAATATACAGGGGAAAACAAACAAAAAAATCAAATTCTGCTAGAGTCCTCTCAAAGGATATACCCCTGAATTATTTCTTTTTCCATAATTTTTCAAATTATTTCATTTTCCCTGATGACATTTCTGGAAGAGTATGTGACAGACAGGATGCAGTGAACTTGCCAAAGCTGTAGCAGGTGTACCAAAATGACCTGAAGTTTCTGTATGTATCACTTGCATATCTGGAAGATGGTGTTTTTTCAGCAGAGGTCAATCCTTTCACGAAGGGAGACATATTAAAAACAAAATCTGCAAATCTAAAATGTTTTGCCTGTTACTAAAAATACATTTCAATTTGACTTACCAGCTGGACACATGTGCATCATATTTTGCCCCATGCAGGTTCAACTACACTTCAGTGTTTGAGATTTTTTCAACTGAAGATTTAAAAATAGAGTTTACTTTTCAGTATTTATTCATTTAATTTTTTGCATTTCAGTTTAGACAGGAAAAATACACTAGTTTCACTTGTGTTTACTTCTGCTTCCTGCTAGGATCCCCTCTACTCCCCAAGGTATTAGCTTGTTTGTGTTGCTAGCACTGCATGAGCAATATTTATTTGTGTTAAAAATATTCTCTTAGGGTTTAAAAAGAAACATAAAAAAAGCAGCCATGGGAACATTGATATTGGTTCATCTCTTGGCTGAATTTGACCTGACCTTGTGCCTTTTATGGTATTGCCTCATTTTTAGATTCATCTTTTTTGGAACTATTGTGTTACACTGGATATTGTTTGTAAATTAGTAATATTTTTACACATGCTTTACTGAAAGCCAGATGACTCATTTGAAAGTTTAATGACTCATTGTGAGCTTTCTTTTTTTCCTTTGTCCTTTGAGAAATAAGCAAAGATACCTACTGTGGAGAGAAAGGACTTAAGAAATTTCATTTGAAAAAAACAAAGCTGTTTTTGAGCTGTGCTGCTCCAGATCTCTCATCATAAGTGTCATACGTGCTTTTTTGTTGAATAATATATTTTGCACCCTGTGTTTATCTGCATCTGCAATTATGCATGCAGAGTATCTAGTTAAGCCCACTTTCCTTTAACTAATGCCTGTCGTTTGCAGGAAATTCCTAGCATTTAAGATACAGAAATTGTTCTTACCCACACGAACGTCTCGTGTTGGAGATCGGATGTGGCCTGCATTGTTTGTGCTGGGGGGGTGCTCGTGCCGTGCGCCGAGAGGAACATCCAAGCGTTGCCGTGTTTAACCACTGCTGACTGAAGCAGAAAAAGGAGACGTTACCATCCACAGAGCTGCATTTCTAAACATGCTGGCGTGTCCATCCCCAGAGCCCTCTTATCCTCGCCCCAGATGGTCCCCCGGTGCGGGACCAGCCCTGTAGAAGCAGCGGGGTTGGCGCCTGCTGCTGCTTTGCATCCGAGGAGGTGCTGTGGCCCCCAGCCCCGCAGGAGAGAGGGAAGGGGCTCTGGGCAGGGACCTTGGCCTCGCTCCCCACTTTTGGCACCATTTCCCCAGGTTTACTTCCCACTTCTTGGCTTTAAGGAGGAGGCACGGACAAGGAAGAAAAGAAAACATATCTAGAACTGTGTGGAAGTCCCAGATGTGGCAGAATTAAGCAACTGTTTTTTAGAACCTTGGGCCTGGCTCATGTTGATAGATTCCTTAACCAGAAACAGCATCTACCTAAAAAAAGCGCCAGTTTCTGGCAATGCTGGTAGCATTGCTGAGAATTTACACACAGTCTGGTTGGAACGTAAAACCCGCCGAGAAACTCCGCGGTGCTGTACAGTGATAAAAAGAAATTGGTGCTAATAAAGACAGACAGGGAGGCATGAAAGCTGTGACCCCGTGCCAAGAAGCATAGGAAATCTGGCAGCGCTGCATAAACAAAAACATTTCCTTAAAGGCTCAGCAGCCCCAGGCAGGCGGGCGATCCCCTCGGCACAGCTCGCGGAAGACGAAGGCGGGCGGTGAGGCGAAGAGCCGGCGGCAACCTCGTCTGCCCCGCGGCAGCGCCGGGTCCCTTCGCCACGCGGCAGGAGAGCAGCGTTCCAGCTCCCTCCTCCACATTCAGCACTTGCAGATTTAACACACGCCACCAGAAACTGCCCGGGAGCCCGACCTCGGCCAGGTCTCCATGTCCGAGCAGGCCCTGCTGATTTCTCGTGGGCCACCAGGCCTCTGGCTCGGG